AAAAAAAAAAAAAAAAATCTATTCCCCAGAACACTTCATCGTGCTCATCTAGAACCTGTACATAGACCAAGAGGTAGCAGTTTGAACAGAACAAGGGGATACTGCATGGTTTAAAATCAAGAAAGCTGTGTGTCAGAGTTGTATTCTTTCACCATACTTATTCAATTTGTATGCTAAGCAAATAACCCAAGCAGCTGGACATCAGGATTGAAGGAAGATTCATAAACAACCAAGCAGATGACACATCCTTGTTTGCTGAAAGTGAAGATGACTTTAAACACTTACTGATGAAAGTTAAAGACGACAGTCTGCAGTATGGATTATACCTCAACATAAAGAAAACAAAAATCCTCACAACTGAACCAATAAGCAACATCATGGTAAGTGGAGAAAAGTTTGACGTCAGGAATTTAATTCTGCTTGGATCTACAATTAATGTTCATAGAAGCAGCAGTCAGGAAATCAAATGATGTATGTTGTTGTTGTTGTTATTTGCCGTCGAGTCGGCCCCGGCTCATAGCGACCCCGGGCAAATCTGCAAAGGACCTCTTTCAAGTACTGAGGAACAAAGACGTCTCTGAGGACTAAGGTGCATCTAAGCCAACCTATGGTATTTTCAATCACCTCATATGCATGTGAGAGCTGGACAACGAATAAGGAAGACCAAAGAAGAATTGAGGCTGCGGTATTGGCGAAGAATGCTGAAAGTACCATGGACTGCTAAACGAACAGGTCTGTCCTGGAAGAAGTGCAGCCGAAATGCTCCTTAGGAGTGAGAATAGCCAAACTTCGTCTCACCTACTTTGGTCATGTTGTCAGAAGGGACCATTCCTTGGAGAAAGATGTCATGCTTGGTAAGGAGGGGGGTCGACCGAAGAGGGGAAGGCCCTCAACGAGGTGGATTGACACGGTAGCTGCGACAGTCAGCTCAGGTACATCAAGGATCATGAGGCTGGTGCACGACCCCGCGGCGCTTCATCTGTTGTACATGGGTCGCTGTGAGTCGGAGCCAATCGGACGCCCCATAACGACACCACCTGGTCACAAACACGGATTCAGGGCATCTGTTCTATTTGAACATTATGCCGGTCCCCACTTAAGGGAGGAAAGAAGTGGGGCGCCGACCCCACTGCAGCGCTTCTGGGAAGGCTAGAAGCTGTAACACCATTGTGTGAAATGCCACCAGGACAGGTCTGGAGGGGCCCCATGAGCGACCTTGCCAGCCACTTGCCTGTGCGAATCCCGGGTCTCCTCAGCGCCGCCTGTCACGGGTCTGTCACGCAGGCGCCCCTGACCCGGCCGCTCCGGCGGGAAACGTCGCGCACGAGCCCGCGCTTCCTGACGTCGGGGACAGGGACCGCCTCGCGGCGTCCTCGGAGGCCCCGGCGCCTCAGCAACCCACCTCCCCTCCGC